AAAAATAGTTCACTTGGCATGTATGAAGGGCTTTGTGTTCTTAATTAATTTATTTATTTTATGAGACTTGGCCAATACAGAAGAAAAAAAGTTACCATGAACACAAACTTCTCAAGAAAACATTACCTTAGGTAGTACAAAAGGGCTTGATGAATCTGCCAACAACTCAATGCTCCATAAAAATAGACATGAATCAGTTGCCCTCCATCAAATCAAGACCTGTAAGGATGCAGTGTTCAAAGTGCCAGTCAGTTTCCATGACTGCCTAACATGTTTTGTTTTCTTTACCTATGAAAGAATGCTACTTTCTACAGTTATCGAAGAGCAACTTCCAAGTAGTCTTAATAATCAACAGCATGTGTCTGTCTGGTGTGTTTGTTTGTCTATTTGGGAAAGACAGCTGAAACAGTAACACTCCAAGTGCTGTGCTGGGAAGCAGAGCCATACTGCTGCTGCAATTGAGTCCTGGGGAGATGAAAATAGAATGCTTGATTGCTGGTTATCTCATCAGCCCTTGTGAAAAGCAGTGTTCACGTTTGGAAGAGGAGAGGAAACTGGGAATCCATTACATTAGTCCTGGTGTTTGAGTTACGCAAATATCCATGACTGTCGTTCAGAAAACAGAGAGATGGTGCTTAAACCGTAATTCAGATATGTCCATTCTAATATAGTAACAGGATGGTAAATTGGTTAAGGAAAAATCAGCTTTGTTTCTTCAGACTCAGTTGGAGGTAGTGGAAATAGGTCTTCTGAAGCTAGACAGGGTAACTGGGGATTTTCCCTCTCTGCCTGATTTTGTTAATAAATGCTGTAATTTGGATTTGGCATTGTGAATGTTAGCCACTAATTGGCATCTGAACTGAGAATAGCTGATAGAATATCAGTGGCCATTTCACTTGCAATAAACTCCACAAAATTGTAACAAAAGCAGTTGGTTCTTTCTCTCCTAACAGTGGTTGCTGGTTTGACACCCACATGCTTATTCCTCCCCCAGTGTTTATGTCTTCACACTTTAAACTCTCTTGCAGAGCTTCTTATCAGCTATTGCACAAGATACCCAACAGGTTTTAAGGCTAGACAGTTTCACAATACCAACAGTCAGCAGGGAAGGCATTTTTGGTGATAGATGTTGGACTATCTCTTGAAATCTTCAGTAAAGGCACATGGAAGAGATGTACTGGTAACATGCAGTGCTATTCTGTACTCAGTCAAATGAAAAAGGAAACTAAGTGGAAAGTACTGGATTCTGACAACAAAGAAATAGAATGCAATGTTCTGATTTTTTTAATGTAATTTCATTTTTCCTTTCAATCAGCTTTTGGTCTTATGTTATTGACAATGAAATGCACTCTCTGGGCTTCAGAATCACAGTGTTGCTCAGCTTTAGAAAAGTCTTTTTTTCATACTACCATCTGCAATACCATCCATTTAGTCATGTAGCACTAAAAATGCACAGTTTCCAGACCATTTTTTAATTAATTTTTAATTCCTGTTTTCACAGTATAAAGAAATTTAATTAGATATTGTAAAAAGATCTTAGGTCTCTGATAACCCTCCTCCCAAAGGTGCTGATGTGGCTGCAAGGCCCGAGGGCACCTCTCAGCACTGCCAGCCTGAGGCTGCCAGAATGGCAGAGATCTTCTCAAAGACCAGAGGGCTTCTTTTTGCTTCCTTGATATTTCTGAAAGTAGAGCAGAGCTTCCATATAATGTTCAACACATATGAACGTTTTTCTGATTTCAGAAACTTTTCTTCACATTTGGTCGGGAACAAAGCTTACGAGGTTGACGTAATAATTTGAGGAAGTCTAAGAAGGAACGAAAACGTCTGGGGCTAGGAAGAGATCTAGGTCTCTTGGGGAGGACCAAAGAAACATTAGGTGACGATCTGTGTTCCAATTTATGAGAACTTTTCCATCAGCTGCACTCAAAGAATTTGAAATACACTTTTTTTTTTTTTGCCTTTGTGGAATTGCTCTTCTTTGCCTTTCAGAGTGAATCTGGCAATTTTCCAAGGCAAACTTGCAAAGGAGTAGAATAAATCACTTGCAGTGTTTGACTAGTAGGAATCCAAGCACTAGAGAAACTACCTCATTTCTAGAAAGCCTCGTAAAAAATGGCTGGGTTTACTTAATCTTTTTGACTCAGTAATATTTCTGCTTGAGTCTACAGTTTGCCAGCCATAAACATTGTCACAAATAATGAAGTAATCATGCAATTAGGACTCACTTATACTGTGACAGTGACCTCTTACTTTTTTTTCCCCCACATAAAAAGAAATAAATATTGTCTTTTTGTTCTCATTGGTGCTAGCTTGTTTTCTCTCCTGGTTTTACCTTTCTAGGGCTGCCTAGACTGTGTTCTGCTATGAGGCAGTAAGAGTGTACTGTATGTTTTGTTAGTTGCACTGAGCGTGAGGAGTAGATGAGCTGTGGTTTGTTTCCCTCTCCAAAACTCTAGACAGCTGAGTGGGGCATGGAGCAGAAACAGAGCCTTCTGACTGTGCAATTCTATGGTAAATCAAAAGTAGCTGTCTAGCCAGGATCATACCACGTTATTATCCATTGGACTGTGTTGGTACAAAGACAGGACCTGAGCAGAGCAGGGCACTGAAGGCCTGGTCTAGAGCCTCTTTGGGGTTCAATCTCGTGTCCACCACCATTTCATAAAGAGACTCATAAACAGTTGCTTCTTCCTTCCCTGAACTTTCTGCCCATTTTTTGGAAGTGGTTCAGCTACTTCCACAGCAAAGCTTTGGCAAAGAGGAAGCAAAGATGAAACGCTGGCTCAAACCAGCCATGTAATGCTGTCTTAGAATCATAGAAACCTTAGAGTTGGAAGAGACATCTGAAGACCATCTAGTCGAACTCCCCTGCAGTGAACAGCATGCCGCAGGTAGATCAGGTTGCCTAGGGCCTGATCCAGCCTCTTCTTGAAAATCTACAGGGACAGAACATTGACAACATCACAAAGTAACCTGTTCCAGAGCCTCATCATATTCACTGTAAAATATTTTTTCCATATATCTAACCTAAGTTTACCCTCTTTGAGTTTGAAGCTGTTTCCCCTTGCTCTGTATAGAAACCCTGCTAAAGTGTTTGTTCCTTTCTTTCCTGTAACTCTCCTCTACATGCTGAGAGGCTGCTATCAGGTCACCTTGCAGCCTTCTGTTATCCAGGCTTAAGGGTGCCAGCTCTGTCCTCATAGGAGAGGTCTTCAGTGTGTCTTTGTGAGTTTCCAGGCCATTGGTCACTCAGTAAGTCTGCTGCCAGATGTTCCTGTCTGAAATGACTTCCTGTAATAGAGGCTTGTATCCTGTGTCCCATATGAAAAGCACTCAGTACTGAGCATTCCTGTTTTTCCATGGAGACCAGAATTTTTTTTTCCAAGTGCTTGAAGCCCAGATGCAGAAGTCAATGTAAATGCTGCTGAAACCATGCAACTGCTCAGTCTGGTGGCTGGGAACCAGACTCACAGATGCCCAATGCATAGTCACTTTACTTCTGTCTAGGACTGTGACAGAGCTTGCTGCTTCCAATTTTGTATGTTCTCCACTTTGGAGTCCCAGTCACATCTATGTCAAGTGTTTTATAAATGCTTCTGGCTTTGCACTTGCACCATAATGTTCTTCTCAAGGCTGTATGAAAGTCTCCTAAAGAGATGAAGTCACTGAACAGGGACTTTTTTTAATGGTCTATCAAATTTTTCTTCTGAGAGTGCTTCATCTGTCTGCTTGTCGCAGCAGCAGTACTTCAACTTGATTCTGGATGCAGCTGGATCTGACTTGCCAGAATAATCTATTTCTCTTCTGAGATGACCAATGCATTAAAATTAAGCAGTGGCTGACTTAAATTTGCACCTAAATTAGACCGTAATACCACTATTCTTAGGAGACCCTAATAAGAACTGGAGAAAATCAAACAGATTTTCAAAATCAACAGATGTCTAATTTAAAAAACTAAACTAAAACTCAGATGCTAAGCAAAATTGACTTTGTTAAAACCTGTCAAAATAGATTTTCCATGAAATAATGTTTCCAAGAAAAAGTTTTAACCTCAGGTTTTGAAGAATGTCTCCTAAATGAATAAACAGAGAAGTAAAATAAAAATCACAGAATCACAGATCACAGAATCACCCAGGTTGGAAGGGACCTCAAGGATCATGTAGTTCCAACCCCCCTGCCTAGCAGGGCCACCAAACACACACATTCAGATCAGGTTGCCCAGGACCCCGTCCAACCTGGCCTTGAACACGTCCAAGGATGGGGCATCCACAACCTCCCTGGGCAGCCCGTTCCAGGGCCTAACCACTCTCCTTGTAAAGAACTTCCCCCTAACATCCAACCTAAATCTTCCCTCCTTCAACTTGGATCCATTCCCCTAGTCCTGAAAATCAATTGTTTTAAAATAAATAAATTTATAAGAAAGTAAAAAAGAAGAAATTTTATCATAGATCCCACATAGTATAAGAATAGCATGGGGTTTTCTTTTGAAATTTTTCAACTTTATTAAGTATTCTTGATAGATATAATATCCTACCCTCTTCCAACACAATGCACTTTTCACTTCGTGCGTGATTTAAATTGTTCTAGTAGCTATACAATCCACTCATGCTGAAAAGAAATCTCAGGATCCTTTGCTTTCAATTGTTATTAATTCTTTCAGTTTCCACCATCACAGGATAGCCTGAAAAAGGCGAGGAGATTCAATCATGGAGATATCACAAAAGAAACTACACCCAAAAATTCTTTCTGAAGGGACAAAGATAAATCCTCTTCGTTCCAGATGAGTTAATGAGAGCTCGGCATGAAATCAGTCAGACTGCTCATTATAAGTCTCCTTTACTGTGCTTTCTTCTTTCCCCATCTGCCTGAATTTAGATATGCCTTCAGATTTTCCTCTAATCACTTGCTTCTGAAGATTCTGGTCTGCCTTTGGCCAGCTGCTTTTTCAAAACAAGTTTTCTGTCTCTGGATAATAAGGTATTTTTGCTTCTTTCCAGTGATGGTTGGGCAGACAGAGATGAAGTCATTGAAGGTTATGAACAGGAAGCAAACGGAGGCATCACCATCAAACTGCAATCTCCAGAGGTCTTGTCATTTGATGACTATTATCTGAAGCTGCGTCTGGACACCAATACCCGCAATCCCTGGTTTCCTGAGTTCTGGCAGCATAGATTTCAGTGTCGCATCCCTGGACACCCATTAGAGAATCCCAACTTCCAGAAGAACTGCACTGGTAATTTATCAGCTCTTTTTCCATTTCAATGTGTGCTCTGGAAAAAAAAAAAAAAAAAGAAAAAAAGAAAAAAAAAAAGAGCTTTATTTGTTTGCTTATAATTTGTTAATAATAGTGAAAAGTGAGAACCAAATTGTAAATAAATTGTAAATACATAAGTCAAAATTCTGGGAGAAAAATCCAGCACAGATTCCTCTCAGTATAATTTTGCTCCGTCATAAAGCAGCTCATTCCACTTTGAGGTTTTATGTCTGTACTGAGGCTGAGGTGAATGCCTAAATTTGTAGCATGGATACATGGCCATGAATAGGATAAAATAAGTAACAGTTAAATTTTAAGAAAAAAATTGAAACAAATTGAAACCTTTTTTTTTTCCAAAATCATTTTCTCTAACCAGTATGATAATCACAAAATTCAAAGAAAATACTATAGCCAAATAAATAAATAAATAAATATCAATGTGTCTTCAAACTGGGAAATCATCTGTTTCACACTTTCTTCTCTTCACCCATTAAAAAGCATACTTTTTTTTCCCACTACATAGCACTTATTTAAACATCAATGTCCTACAAATAGAAGCAATACTCACCTCATAGTAAGGGAAGTGTATCTGCTCATAAACAGTTTGTTTTTTTCTGTGTCAGAACCTGAGAAAATTAACTATATCTTAGTAAGATTGAATGTACTGGTAAATTTAGATGGTTGTGATCACTTTTCTATAAAATACTTACTGAATAATTTTGAAAGTATTTAATTATAGTTGGTTAATATTTCATCTCCAGTCAAAAGAGTACATTTTAATAGTAAGGAAGTTACCCTGTGAAAAAAAATAATAATGAAATCTGACTTCCCATGGATTTTTGTCCTATTCTTTATGTCTCTAACCCCTTTATCCAATTGCAGTAATCTCATTTCATGCACTCTGAGATAACTCCTCACTGTATTTATAGTTCCTCTGCCATCAACAACACTTCTTAACAGCACCTTCCAACCTTCCACATTACCTTTACTTTCCCCTCAGTTCTCTTATTAATAGATGAGCCATATCAACACACACTGTGACTGACTCAAAAATGGCATTATGTGATGACTGGCAGACTGGCTGGGCCCATATGAGCTCTTGGGAGCTGGTAGGAAGACATACTGGCTAAGGAATTGTTGCGTGTTTTGTGTGATATTTTTTTACTCAGAGGAATTATTAACTTTGCATTCTACCAAAATGTTCATTTATGTTATATATATTTATTTTAAGACTGCTTCACTTCAGAGAAAGTAGTTAACATAGGCCAACAAGAGCAGAAATTAGTAAGGGAAGAATGCATGATGGACACACAAAGCAAATATATAGTTTCTTTCTTAAGAAATTTACGATTAAAATAATTTTGCTTTGGTTGTAAAAAAGTTTCAGGCTGTTACTCAATAAAATGTCTGATTTCTGCTGAATCTCAGCAGCTGTAAGCATGGGTAGTATGTTATCCAGTCTCCACTAAACAATAGGCAGGACTGGCATGATCATTCTTTGCCTACCATATTAAAAGCAAATATCAACTAGTGACATCAAACTGGAGTACATGGGTTACTTCTTCACAGTGAGTAGATGAGTTGTCAGATACATGCTGCTGTGGACTACAGATTTTTACTTGAGAGAAAAATCCACAAAAGAAATTCACAGGAAAAAATAATGGTCTGCTTTATGGAAAAAACAAGCAAACACCACCAAACTTTTTAGGAAATGTTGGGGCTGAAGGCACTGAATATTGGAGAAGGTGCTGCAGAGTTACCATCTTCTGCTGTGATACAGGTACAAACCTGCTGTGGTGTTTCTTGCTACTCAAGCAGGTATCAGAGACATCAGTATACTCTGACCGTTAATTGCCATAATTTAGGCACTCTAACATCTTTCCTTCCTCTAACAACCTCTAAAGTTTTTCACGAAGCTTCAAAATATGTGGTACTTTTTTGTGCTTTTCTCAAAAACAGTCATCTCTTAAACTTGAGAATGAACTCTCAGGATCATCATGCAGAACTGAGAAGTTCATAAATGTTTCAAATCACAAAAGAAAAACCCACCATGTATCTATTCCAAATAATGGCGTATCTGTGGAATCGACAGACCTATGTGTCCCCAGAGTGTGTGGGAGCAATGCACTATCTTATTATATTTTTCTTTGACTGCACAGAGCTGACTTCATACACTCACACATACGCTTCACCGCAGCTTTCCATACGAATATCTTTATCTGAGTTTTCTGCTGGTTTAAGAATGCTGCTTAAAATACTAACAGCTCCAAAGCTTGCTGATGGAGCCTTCCTCTCCAAGGAGGTTTAGTATGGCAGTGTTAAGAAAATGCCTTTTTTAACTTATACCTATAAATTCGGAGACAGTTCTCTTTATAAGCATGTGGGGAAAAAAAAAATCTGAATTGCCTCTCACATCCTTCACAAAGAAGGTTATGTGCACAGATTTGAAAATGAGGGCCACACAGGCCAATAAATAAAAAGCAATATTTGAAATCCACTAAAAGCACTGATAGACTACATTCTGACTTTGTTACACCACAAATTAAAATCTTGCTGTTACTACTCCATCACTCCAGGAAAGGTATCAGTATTGAACACTGGTATTAAGGTTCTCATCTCCATTATAGCTGAGAGCTTTCTTTTTACCTCACAGTATGCCATTAGTATTCCTGTAACAAGGCATACAGGATCCTGAATTATGGAAAACGCTGAGTCCCTTGTGCTCTCAGGACTCCTTGCACATTATTAGCATTCATTGTGACTAAGTCTTGGTCCTGATCTGTTCTGTATTCAAAAAGAGCACTGGTAGTCATTACTGAAAACACAGCACACCTGCGCTTCTGTATAAACAGAAATTGATTCAAAGGTAGTACTCTGCTCAGATTCATCTTCAGAATCCGAGGAAACTTTCTAATGAAGAAGAATACCAAGGGCAAAAGATACTTTTGTTGTCTTGGAGAGCATAGTGTCCTTGTATTTACCCATCAGTGGGATCCATAAGAAATACCACAAGCAAGAGAAAACAATGTATTCCTCCAACTACCTTGTTCAGAGAGAGTCAGAATTCATGTTTTGTTCCACTTTGAAGAGAAGATTAATTGCAAAGTTTGTATTTGAATATCTTCAATTACTTCTTGCCCAGTATAATTTTCTCACATACAAACTAATTCTTTTATTGAGTAATTCATTCAGAATTGGCACTGGAATGTGAAGTTCAATTTTCAGCATTCATGGATAGGCGAGGACTGTTCTTCAAACATTTACAGCTGCTGCATTTGCAATTTCTAAGACACTGTTGAGTCAGCACTAGATTGGGATTGCAGACTCTAGAAAACAAGGGAGAAGCAAATTCTTAGAAATCCTCCTTCCCCTATGACAGAAATTATTGTATGAATTCTCTCACTCAGTTCCTGAGAAGATTGATGTCATCCTTCAGGAAATCTCATGCTGCACTGAACTCTGTGAGTATTTTTTGAGGAGGAAAGAGGAAATACCAGAAGGAAGCAAATCCAAGTGCATCCCAGTCTACAAAGCAGTCTGTGAGATCTGCCTTAAGACTGACCACAGTTGCAAGATAGTTTATCTGGATGAACTAGTACTATATGGTAGTAGCACAAATTCTTGGGAAGAGAAGAAAACCTGCTCTTTTGGGAACATTCACTTATTTCTTGCAAAAATTAAAAAGAAATATCCTACTTTTCCCATTTGGGTAGCAGCCAAAAGAGTGGGAGCTATTTTTGACTCACTTTTTGCTGATGTTAGCCAAATCAGTCTCATAAATTGGCTGCCTCTCTGTCTCTCTCTTTTTCATGGATATACAGTATATACCAACATGGTAAGATTCAGTCTAAAATTTTTCTTCTGCATAGAAAAGAGATATTTTTGTATGTATTTTTTTTTTTTCCTCTATGCTTGATTTCTAGAAGGCCAAGACCACTTCCAGTACAAGGTTATTCTCAAAATATTCATTCCACTACTGAATGTTTTCCATTAGTACCTACATTATTCAGGAAACTCAGCATGTCCTGCATCTCTGTATGAATAACTGACTCATAGGGAGCTTCAGAACTTCACAATATTCTTCGTGGCCTTCAGATGACAAATCAGAACAGTGTAGTCCATTTTAACACTACCAGAAAAACGCTGCTTTTGAATTTGAGAAGTTAAGAAACTACATCAGAATGATCCTAATGCTATGTTCCTTTGGCATGCAACTTCCAGAACTGCTCCAAGCAGCAGTCACTGCTTGTGTCTATTCATCAGACAAATCAGCCATTTCTACATCTAGGAGACCGTACGCTGACGGCAAGATATGGTGATAGTCTGTATTGTCAATTGTCACTCTTTTCCAACAGCTCTTTGGAGGTTTACTCCTCTCTGAGCTGATAGAGATAGCCTGAATAGAAGTCCTTTTCTCCTCACTAAACTACAGTTATGGATGTTTCTCTGTTGAACCTGACAAGCTCACATGAGCATGAATTAAATGCAATTCTCACATACGTGGATATGAGGTAGAACTCAGTGCAATTCAAACGCTTTTATGGAGGTTTCGCTGCTTGTTTACAGAATGTCTATTCACCTCTTGGCAGATAATACAATGGCTGCAGTTTCTGTGAACTGGATAGGATGAATACTCCTCTGCACCACAAGAGAGTTACGAAATTTGTTATGGAACTTATGCAAACATCAGATTGTGTTCACAGCAGTTCATCTGCTGGGAAAACAGAATGCATAGACAAGCAATCAGCACAGACATTTTTCAACAGAGTGAAGTGGAACAAAGTGGGCAATTCAATGATTCATTGATTTAATAGATTTTTGACGAGAAAGATTATTTATCAGTGAACCTATTTGTGGTAGACAAGAACAAAAAATATAGATTTTTTTTTTATTTGTTCCAATTGCAGGCCAAGTTCCCTTGGATGCTTACTCATACCTTGGTCATGCCATAAGGATTGCTTTATCTGCTAATTCCTGTC